CCCCCCCGAAATTTTTCTGTCACATCCTCCACCCTTCCTCATCCAGTGCCAATTTGGCATTGCAATAATACACGTGTACTTGTTTTTGGTTAAACTTCGCGTTTGATTGACGCAATGTTTACCCCCACCCCCGGACACAATGTTGCCCTCCCCACCCCCCAATCGTTTTTGTTCACATCCCCTCCCCATTGTTTTTTTCCTTGTTTCTATTTATAGCTTATACTCTACGAAACCTTCATGAAATCAAACGAAGGCCGTGTACTCCTGAAAAATATCAATTTAAAACATGAGGACGGTGATGAGGCCGATTCGTTACCTACCCCGTACGGTGCGGTTCGCCACGGATTTCAGGCACTGCGCTATCTACAAGCAGTTTGTAATCATCCTTGCCTGGCCCTGAAACCGACTCATCCCATCTTGTCCGAAGTGAAGCGCTTGTTGCAAACCGAATACGGACCGCGTGTCTCATTGGATTCCGTCCATTTGAGCGGGAAATTGTTGGCACTGTGGTAATTTTTTTCTTTTAACCGATTTGTTCATTCAAATAAGAATGATCGCGTTAATTCAGTGGGTGGGATTCCGGTGGGAGGGGGGGGGGTGGATCTCAACCCATGACCTCTTCATTCCACCATCTTTTTTCAGTCATCTTTAAACCTTTCATTTTGACTGCTCACGGGGGTCTGTTATCATAAATGAATTCGTGTCTCACCCTGACACCCAAACTATAAATGAGACTGATTTCGTGTTGGCCAAGATTTGCGTCTTCCTTCGACTTGTAGATCTGTTATTGTTCATCGGTTGTGGATGTGTCGTCTTTTTTTCTGTTATAGTCGTCTGCTCACCGATTGCGGATTCGGTACACCAAACTTTGGTTCATCCACGGACTCGACAAATCCTTTCAGTTCCACTAGTTTGTGCAACACCGGATCCTCAACCGACGATCTCGAAGAATCATCCAGAGCGCTGCTCAATCAGCATCGTGCACTCATCTTTTTCCAAACCCGCGAGATGTTGAGGCTCACGGAAGAAATGCTCAGGTGAGTGACTTATCTAATCTTATAGACAGCAAAGGAGAAAGACGCAAATATAATTATTTACTGTATCATGCGTGTTTCTGTGTGTGTGTGTGTCAACTTCTAACCTCAGCTCCGCTTGTTTCAATCGATCTTTCTGTTCCGAAATAGTTATTCGGTTTCGGAGCATCTTATATCCGGGGTAGGTGACATTAATAAATGGCGGTCCACCAACGAACGCAATGATCAATACACTCGTGCCTCACTGCATTGCACTTCACTTGCTGTGGCTTTAGTGCATCACGCATTTTACAAAGGCTACCTCCGTCTGTATGTCTATTTTCAATCTTTATTGGAATTTATATAAGGTATTTTGCGGTGAGCTCATCAATAAATCCTATCCCAAGAAGTAGTTGTACATCTTATGAGATGGTTCTTTCTAGGTTTGTCAAACTGCCTTCCTTGCTACACTTTCGAAAGTTGGATGCATCTTCCAAGATGGTCTCCATTTTTGTTGTGCAATCCATTCTGTCCAAAATGACAACTGCAGATTCTTTGTCGCGTTGGAAAATGACATCTTTGTTGCATCTGAACTCTTGTAAAGCTTTTATGCGATTGTCGTTTAAAAGGCTCCTCTGTCCAGATGGGGTTCATCTATGTTGACGTTCCAGATCAGCAAGTCTAGCTTTAAACCATGCTTTATTATCCGTTGAGGTCGGACTGAATACTGAAAACTGATCGAAGAGATATTCCAAACGAGCTTGTGAATCCATCGCATGGACCTTTTTAGGGAGAATACAGTATTTCAGACCAAGAAATAGCCTTGGTTTGGTAATTGTTTAGGTCGACAGATGATAGATTCCTAACATAGTTTTCGGGGTTATTCGGGAATACCGGTTCTATCAAGTTGTGGTTTAACGATTGTCTCAGTTTTGCTTGCCTCACGGTGTCGTTTGAGAGATTAAGAAACTTCACTCGGCACACAAAAGATAGTTCATTTCCGACAGAAATATTTCCATCTGGAAGGGTTTGTAGGCCACTCAACTTCTTCGTGCAGCTGTCGAGAAAACACTCAGCAAGGTGTCTGTGGTTTTTCTGAGTAGTTTGTAGCTTGTCAATAATGAGCTTTTTGCAATAATGAGCTGGAAACGTATGCCGTCTGATTCTCATGCTAACGAAACGAATCCTTTCACGGAGATTGACAATTTTGCAGCGTAATTTGACAAGACTATCGAGGCACCTGATGACAGACGCCGAGAGACGGTTCTTAAAAGGATTGAAACAACTTTTTCCGGTAAAGAACTTGAATAGAGAATACAGTAGGTTTACGTTGCAAAATTTGTATCCGGATATATTTCGCGGTATCTCATCAGGTGCATACTACAGTCTATATAATATTTATGATCACAATAATTTGATAAAAATTACCGTTAATAAGTTCATGAAGGTCATGGTTTCTACCTAGGTAACGAAAAATTTCTTTTGTTTAGACAAGGTAGGCCTTCATCTTTGAATCGCATTTGCT